CAAGGTAAAATGATTTAGGGCCCTAGTAAGGAAGAGAGAAAGTTCTTTGATCCGGTTGTTGTTCTATAAGCTGCATCAAGGGGTGCACAAAAAGTGTTTGCTATAAGGAATGCAAAATTATGAGGAACAAAAAAGTGTTTGCTAATCGGAGACCTGAGATCTCCCTTAGGTCTCTGCCGGAGAGCTAAATCACAAGAAGGTACAGCATGTGTTTCATTGTCATAATTTTTCAAAGATTTTTCAAACACTTCTTCTACTCCTTGTTTCGCATCTTTAAGCCGATTTTGGTGGACGTTCATTATCTACTCCCTAAGAAAACCAGGTTTATATGGATATTGTAGAACTCGTTTGAATTTTCCCGCGCAAACGCCGGCATTGATACAAACATCTAATCCTGGAGCATGTTTCTGAATGGTCACAGAGTGCGTATAGAATTGAATAATAGGAGGAATGAAGGGGAGCTTCAACATTGTTCTTGTTAAGGAATCAGAATTGATAATAAACTCCAGATTCAAACTCGGACCCTGTACGATTTCCCTTTTGCTTTTTTCACAAAAACGAATTCTGCCCGCCGGAGACCTGCCGTCGAGGTCTGTTACGGCTCAAACGCGGTTGAGCCCTCGCACAAAGCGAACATGATAGCGTGAACTTTCACGATCCTTGGAGCATTTTAGCTCGCGGATAAGAAAGATTGCGACTGCAAGTCAACTGCGAGCTTCAGTAAGTAAAGAGAGTGTTGTAAACAATAGAAACACAGGCATAGCAGTGTTGATCTCATCAGAGAGTCCTATGGACTTTTACTAGAATGAGCACTATACATACCTTTCTCTATTTCTTATAACATCATCCCACCTTACCATTGAAACTCCAAATTAACTGGCAATTTCATTTCTGTTCTCAACTGACAACTAAAAGGCTAGCTGCGAGTTAGCTCCGAGTTTTGGACCAGCGCAACAGGATTGACGACAATATCGTTCGCTGCGCAAAACGTCAAATCGAGTATCACATGAAACAACAAGAAATCATTTTATGGAATTTTCTAGTAAAGTTTATCTTCTATCTCTTTAGTTTTCTAGTTTAGAGTCGGCATAATCATGCAAGTTAGTGGTATAAGTAATGGTTCATGAGATAGACAGACCCAAGTTCAATCGTACTGGGTCAGATGGATTTGCAAGCATTTCTTTTCATAAGTAGCGATTAAATTGCACTTAGTTAGGTCCTTTTTCCAAACGAATTTAAACGTGAGTTACTGATGATCATTAACTCGGATTTTGGCTAAATTAATACCATCTCAGAATTTAATAACTACATGGCGATCAGCACTGTGAGTGCATAACGAGCCTTCTACATTAAAAGAAAAATAATTTCAAGCGAAACGAGATTTTGAACCCAATTAATGAGCGGAATGACTTTTATAAGTAGGAAGGTGCTCTGATTGAAAACATGTTATGTCTATTTTTTGGTAGATTGATTAGGGAACATGAAGAAGATAACAGCTTATAAGACTGAATGAATGGCAAAATCACCTGCTCTACCTTACAGGGATGGAATGCCAAGAAGATGAATACAGACTAAAACCATGGAAATTTCTGAGTTTGTCATATCAATGGATATTTTGGTTTCTCTAAAAGCCAGTAAATAATAATTTTAAGATTATCTAAAGATGTTATGAAGCGGATTTTGAAGCGGCTTCGTCGTCAACGACTTACAAATTCCCCTCCCTTTTTATCCATTCATCTTGTATCCAATTCCTACAAGCTTCCGTAGTGCTTATAGATAAGAAAAAGCTTGAACTTGAAAGTAATGAACTTTTACAAGGAAAACGAAGATCTGGGTGCGCCCACTACGGTTTCCTACTAGAATTTATCTAACTTACCTCACTTTAACTTGAAAAGAAAAAAGCAAAAAACTATACAAGGTAATGGGGTGAAAAACTTCCTCCAACGTTCCACTTCATAAGCCTTCTTTCATTATGAAATCGTGTTAGAGTCACCTGTTAGGAACTAATATGGTGTGAAAGGCGAAGGTCATACTAATTAGCAGACCAACGATAACAAGCAATATCAAACATCTCCTAGAAGAAGAAAATCGCTTTAATTATGAGAATTTAACTAGCTCATTCACTTTAATTTGAGAAATTACTGATTTACATATAGAGTACATTAATACGCTTCTATTATTATATTCGAAGCATCATAGCATGATCTGTGTTTTCAACAATGTTTTTCTCGCTGTCATCGTTC